TTTTCTTTTCGTTTTCCCTCTACTTTTCTCCGTTTCATTTCCTATCGTTCTATATTCCTTGTCAGCCATTTCTTTTTCTCTTTCTTCTCCAATAAGGTTAACAATTATCATCAATTTTCATTTTTGCTGATGAAACAATTCTTAATAAAAAAAAAGGCCATATCAATAAAATGTTGTCGAACGCCGTAAGACAATTATATTAGAATTGAAAGAGAAATCATTCCTTTTATGTCTCGCTCCAAAATTTTAAAATTTTCTTTCGGTGACCTTTTGAAACATTTTTCATTCTTTTATTTCTCTCTTTTGATCTCCGCCTGTTCTTTTTTTTTCTCTTCTTATGAATCAACCCAAAAGACAATGATCCATACCATAACCATATTCTCGTAGTAATGTTAGTCAAAAATTCCTGACTATTAAGAATTACTTTCTTCCGCGTTTGCTATGCAATTCTTTCATGAAAAGTTACCAATAAAAACGTTATTTTACATTGAATATCTAATAGCCATATTCCGGGAATAAAGCTTACATTACTTCCTGACTAGAAAAAAAAAAATGACAAAAATATAGTAAAAATAGAGAAATAATAATAATAATAATAACATTAATAAAAGTCAAATTATTTTGTATATTTACTGCTACACGACAAGCCTCTGTGGGTTTTATGTCATGTTTTGTATTGCACGAGTAAGTCTATTGCCCAACCCATCCTAAGTGCCCAGCATAGGTCAAGTATATGCCCTTCAGAAATGAATGACCTCTAAAAATGTCTCCTACTCGGTAAGTCAATAGTTACTCTTCCCCCCCACGAGGGAAAGATGTGGCACAAGGCCGAGTTTTACGTGGGTTTTTCGAGTCCGTAGGCTCGGCCAAAAAATGCCCGTAGAAACTGTAAAAACAGAATCGGGTTGGTCGTACGAGACTTTGCCTATTCAGCAGAGCCTCGTGCGGGTTCCACTCTGCCCGAAGGCAGATTCGACCATCTTGCTGTGAATGCCCAATATTTACCTGCAGACTCACGCATGTAAAACTAATGGTTACCTATAGAATCAAGCATGTAAAAAAAATGTTTACATAAAGACTCGTATATAAACCCAACCAACGTTTATCTATAAGCTCAAGTATAAAGCCATTCAGCGTGTATCTATAGGATCAAGTATAAAGCCACTCAACGTTCATCTATAGGATCAAGTATAAAGCCATATAACGTTTGTCTATAGACTCAAGTATAAAGCCTTTCAAAGTTTATTTATCATCTTATATATAAACCCGACTGTTAACTATAGACTTAAGTATATACCTGATCACTGCTTACTTACAGACTCAAGTAAAATACAATAAAAAAAGATTCCGACTTTAAATCACTCAATAACGGTGAATGTAGTTAAATCCATCAACTTATTTACATAAAAGTTTACCTCTGGTTTTTGTACATAAAATTTTAGCGATGTTTTTTTTTTACATAAAAATTTACCTATATTTTTTAACATAAGATTTTGTCTATATTTTTGCACAAAATTTTACCTATGTTAACTTACATAAAGTTTTACCTATTTTTTTGTTTTTAACCGGAAGAGTGAGTAACCGGTGAAGTAACAGCGTTGTCGGAGTCACAATGAGCGAGCATGTAGACTCCGTAAGAAGTCATACAGCGATACTTCAATACCAAAGACTATATATATATATATATATATATATATATATATATATATATACTTAATGAGTATTTTAAAACGAGTTTACTTAATGAACAAAAATCAAACGAATAAATGTCAACCTAACAAGCTATAAGATAAAAGTTTTAGTGGGAAAAAAAAAAAAAAATTAGTAAATATAAATTGGATTGCTCTTTCAATGTTCTGTCTATGGATTTTTCCAATCGACTGTTTCATAGAAAATACCCAAAATTCCACCGAATTTCAAATTAATTTCTTCGTAGATTGTTTTAAAATTTAGATATTTATCAAACCTTAACCTCCCAAATATGCACGTTAAAGTAACGCGAACTGACAGCGTCTAAGAATTTGAATGAAACCTGTCGTGTAATTTATTGGGGTTGTTGTAACGTCTTCCTTTAATGTAGTTCTTATCGTTCACCCCTTAGCCACCTTTATCTAGAGACGAGACGCGTTAAATTTGAGCAACATCTAGCCGACACACTGGGGTTAAAATAGGAAACTAAAATTATACATATGACACACTCATATCCTCTCTCCCACCTCACTTCCTCACTTCGTTAACTTTGCGTATACTTGATGAGGTCCGTAAAAAACGTGTGAATTTCTTTTCATTTTTCATTTCAGCTTTTGGAAGTAAAGTCTGATGATCCAGAACCCTGTTAAAGGGGTTATGGTGAAATAACTTATTACATGGAATCTTAACGTGGTCTGTCTTTTATTCAAACATATATATATATATATATATATATATATATATATATGTGTGTGTGTGTGTGTGTGTGTGTGTGTATATATATTTGCTACTAACCCGTATTCCTGGAACTACTAACCTGCTTTACCAGTTTGTATTATTACGTTAATACATTATTTTTATTTATTCATTCCTGGCGTTTGTTATTTATTGGTACCGGATTTCAACCCGGAATCCACAACAGTATTTTTACATAAAATTTGACCTACGTTTTTTATTCTCACGTTGGCCAGTAGAGAATTGCCGCAAACTACATGAAAACCGTAGAAGCATGAAAAAATCGATTATTTCCACTATCGATGGGAGTTGGGAAATGTAAAGTCGGTCTTGGCCTTTCGGCTCACTTGGAGTATGTGCATGTAAATTTTGGTGCAAATCCGTCGAAAATTGCGACCGTGCATTCGTTACACACACACACACACACACACACACACACACACACACACACACACACACACACACACACACATCCTGCCTTTTATAGATAGAGATTTGTTGTGGTTAAAAAAGAAAAGAAAAACGCCTTGAACCGCAACCACGTCACGTGTTTCTCTATAGAAAACAAAACAAACAAAAGGAAAAACCGGCAAACAGTATTTGGCATACATATTAACTTCTTTCTTTATAATTTAATTTACCAAAACAGAACGCAAGTCGTCTTACGTCGGAATTTCTAATGTTGACTCAAATATGGCCTAATTTAAGGGATCACATTACTATGTTAGGAGTAGATATGTGAATAATTTATATTTAATTTACCAAAATAAAGCGTAAGTAGTCATAAACAGGAATGGAAACCCGGACAGAAGAATTACTGACATTATGCAAGATGTGAAAAAATATAAAATGGATTCTGATTTCGGAACATTCGAGAAAGGAATAAAGTATACTTGGTTTCTGTTCCTCCTGTCAAGCTGTCTGAAATTCCAAGTTGAAGCATTGTCATAGCAATCCATTTATCGAATATATTTTCGTTCGTGTTATTCTTGCTGCTTGTTTACCCCAAATAAATGAAGTGTGGGTAGCGAAACGGCTATCGGCGGAGAAAGCGGAATTCGAATTTCAGCAGCGTCTATGGTATTCCTTTGACACAAAAGTCCTTGAGAGAAAAGCATGAATCCCTACCTTCCCAACTAAAAAGTTATGGGTTATATAGTAGTGTAGACGGGGCCCTCTAGACCGGGGTGCGGGGAGGCAACCCCAGTTAGGACGACAGACTCTGAATTTAAAACTATAGAGAAGACAACGCGAAACCATCCCACTATCGTCAGTAGAAAGTCATAGCATTTCACACAGAGAAAGCTGGTAACTGAGTAATGTCATGATCATTCATATCTCGAAAGATATCAGTAATAGTAGACGAAGAATTTTAAAAAATATATATATATATATATATATATATATATATATATATATATATATATATATACATTATATTTACACGCTCTATCTCTGATATTGAGCACTTTATCGCATAAATATAGCACATTTTAAGATTATATTTCTTCATATATATATATATATATATATATATATATATATATATATATAATTTAGGGACACTTCACTTTGAAACACCAGTTCAAGTACGATCACCGAAGTTAAACAACATCGATCCTGAAGAGTACTTAGATGGGTGATCGCTTCTGAATGGCAGGCGCAGTAAGAATTAATGTGTGGGTGGTGTATTAGATTATACGTCGGAATTGTTAATCAGAGAGATGAATCATTAAATCATTATTACCTAAAAAAAAAAAAAAAAAAACTTCTAAAAATATTTTCTGGCTTTAAATAACCTGCAAAGGGTTGATAAACCTTAGAAAACGAATCAATCAATCAATGAAATCTTCATATCTATCTATCGATTTGGCTTATTCTTATCTTTCTATCTCAATTTCCACATGTCTATCTGCCTTTCTGTTTCAAATCTTTATCAACGTCTCCTTTAATCATATCTACTTGTCTTCTATTTTCTGGCTTTAAATAACCTGCAAATGGTTGATAAGCCGTAGAAAACGAATCAGTCAAGATTAATTTATATCAGGAAGTATGATCGTAATTTAATTTTTGAGCTCTTTTTATTCATGAGAAAGGTTCATTTCATATCCTATACTATTCACATGGCAGCCTATGGCTAATGTTCAGCTGTCATCTGTTTTACCTGGTCAGGTCTTTACCAATTGTTCTATGAAAGATAACCGATAGGCATCATTCAAATTTAGTTATAAAATTATATTCTTTTTAATCAGAATTTTCTGGCCAAGGTGCATTAAAATAGCGAAAGATGCCCCTCTAAAGCTAAGCAAAGTATTAAGAAACAGCATTGATTGATTTGTTATATTTTATGGCTTATCATTCTTTTTTTAAAGGTTATTTAAAGCTGAAATATATTTTTGGATGGTAATGGTTTTCTGATACAAGTCCTACTATTCAACCCATAGTTAGGGAGAGAAGATTTGGATTCATACCTTTCCCAAGGGGATATTACCTGACTGGAAATCGAACACTTCTTCGATTACTCATTCCAAGCCGTTATCACATGTAACATCCGCGCGTCCAAGCTTATAGCACTTTGCTTTTCCCGCGCGGTCACCCATCTAGGTAATGACCAGGCTCAACTTTGCTTAACTTCGCTGATCGAATATGAACTGGTGTTTCGACGTGATACGGTCGTAAGCTAAGAAACAAGAGATTTTCATTAGAAACAAAGAAAAATGTTATGGGCTGCTATGTAATACCAGTCCTCCTGTATAGGACTAAATGCAGGAAAATTTTTCTCACAGATGAAGAACTGACTTGAAGCAACAGAGATGTGGTTCTACAGAAGGATACTGAGAATACCATTGATGAAATATGTTAGCAATAAAGACATTTTAAGGAAAATAGGAACAGAAAGGGAAATTTTATTTAGAATCAGATAATGAGGAAAGGGTGCTTGGAGAGTTTGACACTCACAGGACATATTGAAAGCAAAACTTTCAGAATGAAATAGCGAATAACCTACCCGTGTAAGTGGATGGCAAAACAGGAAGTGGAAGTGATAATGAAAAGACAATCGTTACTAAAAACTTCAAAGAATTGGAAGTCATGGAGAGTTATTATCTCGCGCCTCCTGAAGAGACTGGGCACATTTCCATTATATACAAATCGACGTGCTAAAAAGTTAACCCTTCTTTTACCAATTAACAATCATTTTTCATGAATGATAATTGTGTGTTTTTTTTTTTAGTTTCTTCTTGCGTTTGGATTTTTAAATGTTTAATACTTACCTTCAGTACATGTTTTACTTTCGTTCTCTTTTTCTTTCTTTAGAGGTGCCAAAAAGAATTTAAAAAAAAAATAATGAAGAAAAAAAATATGAAAGAAGCTACAACGAAAACGTTGAAGAAAGAAAATATATCTAATCCCAAATACAGCCACCAACTGAAGAAAAAAAGTCATTATCTAAAAATAATTCGTGATCAGCCTCCTTGGAGCTGTCATTTCATTTGGAGTGTTTGTGCTTGTCGCAACCAAAAAGCTTCGCGGTCGAAACTGACACAGCGTCGAAGGTAAAAGGTAAAGATTCATACTTGATTCTTAAAAGGCCAATTAATCTTGTAAACCGTTTGAGAAGAAGCGACTTTTTTGCCGCCTTTTAGAGAGCGGGAAATAAACACGAATCTAAGATCCTTATGATGAAAACGTCTAAACATCTGTCTACTTAAAAACGAAAGAGAAAAAGGGAAGCTTTTATTTACAAAGACAAGTTCCTATTCATCAATGTTTTCATCGTCAGAAATCACTCAGATGTGGAAATCTACGTATAAAATAATATAGTAAATATATCTGAACAGAAAGTTACTTATAGCGAACATGCAAAGAAGATTTTACAAGAATGTTCTGAAAATTCTGCAGGTAATAATTTCAAAACTAATTTTATAATAGGTCTATATTTCTTAGATGACGTATTGTAACTATTTACACTATTGACATTGTTCAGATTGTTATCCTCATCTTTATCATCATATTCACAACATTTCGGGTGTTGCACGCTCCGGCCTTCTTCAGGTGATATACGTTGGAATTTCCAACCGAACCGATTATTTAATTCACTTGGGTAGATTATACTAGTTCCACGTGCCATGCCTTTTCTGGATATCTCAGTGTCAGTTATTTCCCATAATTAACTCAACTCTTCATGTTTTTGTTCGCCTTTACTGTGGACAGGTATTGAATTCACAACTCTTTGGGTCAAGTCAGTGCATTACTTCAACCAACCACTGGGCAATGGGCAACTTTGGAACATATGGCCAGGAGGATAAGAGCGTTGGTCGTGAATATGAAAATAAAGATGAGGACAATAGATCAAACGATGTAAATAGTGTAAATAAATTTGACAATATATTTTGATTATTTCGAACAGTTGTTAATATAGGCATAACGTTTGGGCCGAGTACCCTTTCGACATCATCAGGTGTACATGATGTCCAGACGATACACCACCGAAATGTTGTGTGTATAAAATGTCTGGCTGCTCGTATCCGAGTATACCTGTCTACTAAGACGGCTAGCCAAAACATGTTGCAGACACCCGCCCAAGCACATTTGTATTAGGTTGGTGCAAAAATAATGACGTAATAATTTCGTTTTTTGACGTTAAAAATACGTCAAAAAGCGACATTATTACGTTATTATTTTTGCACCAACCTAATATTTATTGAACACTCACAGACTCATCTGTGGTTTATAATGCAACTACGCTGAGCGGACCTTAGTTACAGTTTCTAGGAGAGTGCGTATTACCAGGCGTGATCAACAGTCTGAATAACGCTCGGTCACGATGACTTGTGCCTTCGTGCTAGCACAACCATCAACGGCTTGCAAATAGTTCCGTCTACCCAATTTTCACTCACAAGGTCAACCAAAAGTGTCGTACGCTGAAATTGTCTCCTCGGGCCTATAACATCAAGAAGTCACATTCCTGACAAATCGACCATGGTGAGATTCGAACCAAGTTCTCATGACCAGAAAGGGAACATTCTAACTGCCCACTTTGTGTGTATAATGACATCTATAATCAAGATGAGAACAATAGTTCAAAATAATGATAGTATAATGACAATTCCTCAACTCAAAATGAAATAGAAATTCATCGAAAAGCGGTACGAAGCGTCATAATAAACAAATATCGAAACGATCCGAGATTGAATACAAAGTCTCTAAAAATACACCACTTATGTCATTCGTGGAAGTGACGCATATATATATATATATATATATATATATATATATATATATATATATATATATATATATATGTGTGTGTGTGTGTGTGTAGGAGGTGGGAAAATATGTGTTACACTTATCTCTGGATCAAGTAGTCAAACACTAGTTCAGCAGGAATGAACAAAAACTCCCAGGGACAAAATAACATGATAATCAACAGGTATCATATATCAGGCAAGCAATGGACACCTGATGATGTCCAGAAGGTATATACGAAATCAACCTTATTTCCAACACAATTACATGCCCACATACATACCATATTAAAACATAACCAAACTTTATTTTCTAACCAATAGCGAACAATATTATAAACATGCCAAAAAGATTTCACCATAAAACTCACACCGTTTAAATCAAAGTGTCTATTGGTTAAAAATTAATACCACCCTGTGAAATATTTGACCAATTAAAGGAAACTAGAAATCTATTTTTTTCTGGCCTACTTTCTGGAAAAAAATTCTTATGAAAACGCACAGATTTCCTCTCTCAGCGAGCAGATATACAAGCCGTTTAAACACAAGAGAAGACGTGGCTACATAATGTTTTTCCTTCCCAGAGAGCTTGTTGAAAGAAACATGTGTTTGCGAAGTCGAACAACAACTGCTGAGACAGTCAGTGAATCTTCGTTGACGATTATGTGTCTGCGACTTCAAACGAATCATCACAGCAGAGACGATCAGTTAATGTTCATTGATGATCAAAATCTTTTCTAGAATAAAGATTTTTCTGTGAACCAACTTCCCAAATATTTTCACTTAATTAAAGATCATTTTACTACTTGTCGACTCTGTTGATGTATTATTACTTGTAAATGCAATTGGCTTACTTAACAGGCATCCCCATGTTTTTGTCTACAATAACATCTAAAAACGGTATTGAGGCATCCCCATGACATTAAAACATTCTTTATTTTATTATTATTTGCAGAAGTTTGGCTTTGGCGTTCGGACTTGTTTGATTTTTTGCGCGAAATTGAAAAACCCTTTCAGACATCATAGAGTCTGACAACATGGAACAAATCTTATTAGCAACAAAAAGACAACCCTCATCTCAGCAGACGTTATCCGTACGGCGGGACGCAGCGACCCGCAATACAAAAAAATTTGAGAATGATTCAAAGAACCATTCTGATGGGAAATTGAGGCACCGCCTGGTTGACGATTTGCTCTTAGATCAAAAATGTTACATTAAAACATTGCGCTCGATTACCGTTTAGAGCAACGTTCAAAAATTGGACAAAATGCCAATAAGACACCATCTCCTGATTCTTTCAAATCGTCGGACACAGTTGGAAACGTAGCATGCGCCATTAACTGGCTTTGAATTTACCATGAGCCACGGAGAACATGCCTTTGCCTCGAGTATTTCAAATGCGGCGCGTGAAGTCTGATCTCTTTGTTTTGATTAAACAAAGGTTATACGCCCATCAAAACATATGCTGATTAATGCGCGACGCGAGCTCGTTCAAAACAACCAATGGTCGAGATCGTCAAACAGCCAAGAGAATGACATGCCCAAGGTGGATAATAATGCAGCAAGAGCCATCCTCCAATACAGGAAAATTCAAAACAATCCCCGACCGCCAATTAAAATAAAACAAAATTGGATAACCGCAGCACAAAATCGTGAGATAAGTTTGTCCCGGCGGAACGCTCGTCTCAAGAGCGATACAACAGAAAAAAGGATTTTTTCAGGTCATTTTTTCAGAGTTGACGGTGACCTTACGAAATCGCCGATTTTGTTGTTGTTTTGCACACCATGCAACAAACAGTCGACGTGAATAACATCAAAAAGTCTACAATAACACGGACAAAAAACCCTCGGGCATTGAATTTAAAGCCAGGTTTAAAGGAACTCATCCCTCCCCAAAATACCCACACGCGAAATTACAATTTTACCGGGTGAGTTCCAATTCTGACAAAAATTTCATTGCAAACTGAGAAATCATAAGCAGTAATATTCCACTCAGGTACCAGCAGCCAATCACAGCCCAAGCAATAATCCCACTTTAATAATGAGATGCTCCATTGCACCAAAATAGCTCTCTGTCTCTATGTTAAGTTCTTCATTTAAAACGTGATTGTTCGACAGATATGAATTTAAAAAAAAAAACCGACAATTAAAATAAAACAAAAAATTTGTACCTGAAAAAATTTTTTTTAATGAATTTAAAGTTTAATAAATTACATTTTAGGGTGAGATTCTGAAAATCGCGCAGATAATAATGACCATTTAAAAGATTTAAAAAAAAAATAAGCGCATTTTAAAATAATATCCACGAAAATCGCGCAGTAATAATGACCAGTAAGATAAGAAAAGCCGTAAAAAGGCCGTTAACTAAGTAAGCTTCCGCGCATTATAGCTATAGAGGAAAACGTATGTAAACAACACCAGTAATGACGGAC